AGGAGAAGCGAAGTCCCCTCCCCACACTGGGGAAACGCTGCTCGGGTCTTTAAAAAGACATGAAAACCCATCGCCCGCCACTTTGAAACACACACACACACAGAAAAAAGAAGCAGTTCTGAAAACCCATTACAAAGCAGAGGTCGATATATAAATGCCACCCCCCCACCTCCCTACTCACTGAATAACTATCCCCAGGAAAAGAAAAAAAACCAACACTTAAATACAACTTCATAAATATTAAATCATGAAAAAAAACTGAGACTTGGTTTTCTTCCCTCCTGGTTAAAAACAAACAAACAAACAAACAAATATGCATTAGGAGGGAAGATAAGAAACAAGTGTCTAATATAGACAGTTACTTCAGCTATAAAGTGTAACCTGCTGGATCGAGCCAGAGGTACAGGGGAGGGAGAAGGGGAGATCCAGCAGAGACGGCGCGGGCGTCCCCGAGCCGACCTTCCTCCCGCTCACGGGTCTCGTCGTGACGTTAAATCGGTGTCGAAAGGTTTGAGAGCCCTTGAGAACCAAACAGTTTGTGAACAGCGACTGTCCTCGCGCTCCACCAACCCCCTGGGGATCCGGATACCCGGAGTAAGGCCATTCCGCTTGGTCTTTCGGGGGGGGAAAAAAAAAAAGAATTTTAAAAAAAATGCTTTTTCTTAAAAAATATCAGCTTGTGTCACATCCACTTTAAAAGTTGGAAGTGGAACATGGGAAGAGACTTGGCTCTGAAACATCAACTAAAAATCCCTTTCTACACCACTACATTCTTCGTTTCCTTAGCAATCATTGCTAATTAGTATAGAAACCCCTTGCACTACCGCAAGGGCAAACTTTAAATTACTTTTTTTTTTTTTTAATATATATAAAAAAAGAACGGAGGATTCTAACCCACCGGGAACACGGGGAAGAGTCACTTCATTTCTTTAAAAAAAGCATTTAGTGAAAATAAAGATCAGTCCAACATCTGCTCAGAGATCTCTAGAGAAGCGTCTGCAGCCAGCACGGGCCAGGCGTCACCGCGGGGAAACGGCAGAACAATCCCTCCTTTCAGCTTATTATTTTGCTTAAAATTGGACTCAAGATGCCCCGTACTTTTGTGGGGGCAGAAGTCCGTCCCGTTTATGCAGGGATCTCGTCGACGCCGCCGCGCGCAGCGGTGTCAACCGCGGCTGCGACACAGGCGAGATATCAAAAGGGAGCCGAGCTATAAAAACGGGAAGGGTTTTGCACGTGGTGCCCGCAGCAGGACGGAGGGCAGGGGAAGGGAACGGAGCAGGCTGGGTTTGGTCCGTTTGCTTAAGAAATACTTTTAAAAAAAAAAAAAGTGTGCCCCTTACAAAGATCTCCCTTCACCTGCGACTCCCTGCTTGGCGGAGAAGGGACGAAAAGGCTTAGTTTAAAAACCGGGGAACAAAGCAATCCAAAACCTCCCTGACGTCTTAAAACGCTTCGCACGTTCGGAGTCCTCCGAGCAACACAGCGCAGCACCTAGCTCTCCTCGTCACTGTCTCGGGGCGATGCGAGATTGAAAACTGAGGCGGCTCCGGCAGCCAGGGGCTGCTGGCGGGGGAGAGGAGCTCGTCGACGGTCAGTACAGCTTCTGCTCCCCCTTTCTGCCTCTCTCACATGAGATACTTTATGGTGGAACACTGAAAAAAAACCTATTTATTAAAAAAAAAAAAGTTACTATATTGCAGGACTAAAAAGAAGTGATATGACTGAATTCAGAGAAACATTTAAATTAAAAACTTGTTTAAAATACAAAATAAAACCACATTGCTCTGTCGCAAACTGCCCCAACGAGGCTCTAATGCCCGTTTCCCCCCAATGACTCCAAAGAGTTGCCCGTTCTCGCAAGGTTTGTGGTGTCGGCATCGTAAGCAGCTAACTCCCTGACAGTCAGATCCCTTTTCCAGAGGGCTTCAGCCCACGCGGAGCAGTTCCTCCTCCTCCTCCTCCCGACAGCCGGCTTTGCTCCCGCCAGGCTTGAAAGGAAGGAGGACAGCAGGGGCACAGTGGTGGGCTCTGCTGTAAGGAGACTTCCAGGTGTCCAAGGCTCAGCTGTGCTGGCTCGGTCTTTGTTAATACTATCCCACTAAGCACAGCCCAGCCTTCCAGCTTTTAGGTTTCTGTCCAGATAAGATTTCTTTCCAAAAAAAAAAAAATAGTAAGTCAGCAACAGGGGCTGAACGTTTGTCAGACTCCACAGACCACGCAGAGCACAGAACAATCTGCTTCCATGGCGGCAGTCTCCGTGTTGCTTCACTGTGAAGAGAAAAGAGGGGGAGATGCTGGGGAGGGGTCTGCCTTCCTCTGAGGAAGAGCAGCAGGAGGTCTCCTGCCTGGTCTTCCCCTAAACCTTCTCCACCCTGGGAGAGGCAGAGTGGAGGGGGCTGTTGAGTCCAGGCTTACCCCAACCACCATCTTACATTAAAACAGGAGGGTCTGTGAGTATTCATCATCCGCCGCGGGGACAGCAAGATGAGCCTGGTCAGCTTCACCCCGTTTTATCTCTGCCATCAGACCCACTCTGGGCCCTCAGGAAAGAGGAACGTCTCTGCTTTGCCGCCTGCTTATCTAACTTAAGGCGGTTGGGGCAGCAGATTATCACTAAGAGCACGAACGGTGCCTAGCACAAGGCAGGCTGAGCCTTCGCATACCAGAGGGGGATGAAGAACATCTGCTCCTGCTCTGGTAGACTCACACATCCCCGCTCAGTGTCCGTGTTCCCAGCACAAGTAGGGACCACATAAACCCCGCAATTCTCCATCCACCTCCAGGGCCGCTCTTTTCCTCCTAAACAGGGAAGTACTCACAAAGCTTATCTCTGTCTCTTGCAGGTCTTCGAGCTGCTCTCTCAGCTCGGCGGAGCGCTCGGGTATGGAAGGCCCTGGGGAGCCGCTGGGGAAACAGAAGGGGGAGACCTGTAAAGCAGTTTTTAAGAGTGAGCTGTCAATAAGTCACATCTCCAGGGCTGCCCTGCTGTACCCAGCCAACGGGAACATCCCAGCACGGCACAGAGGCGTTTGTTAGGCAGGCTTAATATGGAGGCACAGGCAACACGATCCCTGCTGGGCCAGACACCCAAAACACCACCTAGAAAATCATCCCCCCTAGTCAACGCAACTTCAGATGTTAGAAACAAGGATCTTTTGTCCAGCCAAGCAGCAGCGTCTCTTTACGGAAGTCTTCAAGCACCTCATCAATATAGAAATGGTCCTGGGTAAAAACAGTCCAGGCACAAAGAAACCACGAAGCACCAGAGCTCAGCGAGTCTCAGCCCTTCCAGGGGCACCCTTGTTTGAAAAAGCCCCTGGCAAACCTTTTACGCTCTGAACACAGGCTATAGCCTGACAGCAGGATATAGAACATGAGCACGCTGAGCACCTGATAGGACACATCACCAAGGAGAAAAGGTGGGGTGTGGAAGAACTTGCTTTACTCTAATAACCCCTGTTATTTTCCCCACTTCTTTCACGATCCTACAGCTAAAAGGCTGCAACCTGCCGGCTGAGGAACTCCAATTCCCAGCTTGGGTCTTGCCCTGCTTCCTACCGAGGATATGGTGACCACAGCTTCTCTCCTTGCCCCTTGAGTGAGAGGCCAAGTCTGTGAGTACATATTTCACATAGGCCAAGCGGTCAGGGCTCTCCGGTGCGCTGGCAACTAACAGGAGAGGTTTCAGGACTGCCTACGGACGGCATGACCCGCTTGGCCCTCCCGCAGCTAACACCCAGGGCTTGTCACAGCCTGCCTGCAGTGGTTGCCTTAATTAGTGGGGATTCGATTGCCTGTTGCCCGAGTACAGGAAGCATCGAGCTGTTCAGGCTACACGTCGCCCCGCGCAAACACCCTTGGATCAACACCCAAATGGAGACATGGGGATCCTCGCCGGGAAGGCACAGCTCCCTCTCTGCCTGATCATGCCTCACCTATGCGCCTGGTTACTCTGAGCTGCTCTGGCTTCCTCCTCCGTTGAGCCCTCTAACTGGCGACTGGCTGCTTCTGACCTATGCAGAAATTAAAGGCGAGGATGCTCAGTGTTGGTTACAGCGCATACGGCTCTCGAGGCTTGTCTTAATTAGCACTAAAGCAGCACTGCCCTAACGCAGGGCTGCAGGATGAGTCATAGAATCATTTAGGTTGGAAAAGACCCTTCATCGAGTCCAACCATTAACCTAACACTGCCAAGTCCACCACTAAACCACAGTGCTTAAGGGAAAAAGAAGTGCCCCTCTCAAATGGAGGGGATCACCCTCTGGAACCCCTTGCCGCAGGATGCCGGTCAGCAGCTTCCATTCCCAGAGGCATGTGCCGATGTTTAGGTGTCCCCAACGCCAGCACGCGTCTGCCAGAGGTTAGTGACAGAGCTGGGCTGAGGACCAGGGGAATCCCAGCCTCGCGAGGGCACCCACGCCTGCACGGTATCGCTTACGCCACCGCGGAGAGCACGTCTTCGACACACAGGTTGCACACCGCAAACAGAGGCACGTGGCAACATTTCTGAGGCAGGCGTGAGGCCGTGCTGCAAAAGAGAGACCGAGGTTGTCGTAGCACGGACGAGAGGGCTGAACTCGTGTTCCTAAGGCAGATCTGGAGCGGGACAGATCCTGCCTTCCCCCTGTGCCCACCCCTAGAAGGGCAGAAGCTCTAACTGGAGAAGTTATGGGTGAGATCACTCCCCTTTGTACAGGACTACAGAGATTTAAGAGGTTACCTCCCCAAAGGGTGGTAAACACCCCGCTAGACTGGCTGATTCTGTAGAGAGAAAAAAACACCCTTTTAAATCCATTCAACAAGTTATGTTGTTATAAATCAATAATCCACAAATCACTTTCATCCTTTTCAGGGTTTGCAGAGCTTTATGGACCTCCCAAGGTTGCAAAAGTGGATTTAAGCCTCTGACAACAGATCCGATGTAGGGAGCTCTGATCCCAAGGCCCCACATGGGAGAACACACTGTTCCATCCTCCCTCCTGGATTTCATTACCACCGTCTGGCGCTGGCACATGGTTTTACAGGATGTTGGCAAAGGGTAACCACATGGCTCGAGTGCCCGCAGGGTACGGTAAGCGGAGTGCTCTGCTCCAGAGGTACCTGGGGCAAACACAGATCAGGCTTTGCACCTGGGGAACCACTTGGGACTCAACCCAATTGTGCAGCAGGTTTGATCTTACCTACCAGAACCCGTGTTTTTACCAAGAAGGGTGCTCAGTGCCACGCGGGGTAAGGAAGACACCATCCTGAGAGGTTTTACCACTGAGCTTTACAGCAGACAGACACGTTAGGGACTGCCGAGCCTTGGCACAGGGACACACTGTGTTACAGCACTGCACTTTAGGAGCGAACTGACTGTACAGAACCTCTGTAACCACTGGCCAGTAAGAAGCGTGAGGCCAAATCCCAGGGTAAGTCTCACTGAGCACACCCTCTAGACAAGAGAAGGTTTCAGGCAAAGTCTGGTTCCTCCCCTCACCTAGACAGGAAGATGCCGGGAGCTGTTCTAGTCAAATCCTTTGCTGAGCTGTCAGCTTTATGCACTTGTACGCCCACTGACCTACGTAGAGATCGAAGGAGAGAGACCCGCAGTTAAGTAAATAAAAAGAACACCTCAGGCATGCTGACGTACTGGAAAGGAGCAGCTCTGGTTTAGGATCCCTACCAAGAAGTTTCCATGTTTTACAGAGGGAGTAAGAGGTGTTAATTACAATTGCATCTTGTTCTCCTGCAGCTCAGGAGAGAGCAGACACTTGGATCAGTGCCACTGCGCAGGCAGTGGGTCAGGAATGGGGAAAATGGTTTCCGATCGCTTCCAGGAAGAGAAGTTAACACCTCAGAACAACTTCTATGAAAGGGATCGTCCTCTGACCACAGCTCCTCCTCGTCCCTGCTAGTCTTACCACTTCAGCAAGAAATGAAACATTCAAAGGCAGCCACCAGCTCCCTCAAGGCTCTCCATGCATTTCAGCTTCTGAGACATATTGAACCGCACCTGCACACATCCCTGCAGCCTCCTTTCCCGAGGAGTCGTAGGAGCTCAGTGCTAACCCAATCAGTAAGTTGCAAGAGAGCCCAACCCTCTGAAAAGAGCAGCAGGAAGGTCATCTTCAGCATCGCGCATCACCACGTTAATGCTCTTCACACACATTTTGGCAGTGACAATTTCACCAACTCACTTCAATTAGCACAATTACCTCAACTCCAGAACAAAGCCATTAAATACAGAACACACAAGGAACTAAAAGCCACTGGGACCTCCACACAGCCCAAGCAGAAGTTGCAAGATCATGTCATCTGTAACGGACTGCACGCAGGAACGGCGATGCCCCCCCCTCGCACATGCTTGAACCGACAGCACTGAACTTGCTCAACAACACATGGACCACTCAAACGGGTATTTCTGCAAGCATGCCAAAAACCGGAACATCCCATAAAGCAGCACAGAGCCCTCCCACAGCTCACGAACCTGACTTGCAGGAGCCGCTGGCCTGCCATGAGCCAAAACAGCATGAGCCTTACCTATTCGCGGGCGAGTTGAGGCCTCCACTGCCCAAGGAAGAAGTGGACAGGGTTGTTGCGATGGAATCGCTGTTAGCTTCATCTACCGGCAGGGTCCTGGGCAGGAGATCTGGGCGACCAAGGTGGGAACCTGAGTTGAAGCACAGACCGTTCCATCACCAGCACAAGCAGGATCGTGTAGCATGAGCTCCCACACTAGCCACAGGTCAGGATCCATGCTGGATCCCACTCAAGACATCTAAGCCACCCGAGCACTGAAGAACCAGCCCTGCAGACAGCTCTCTGTTCCAAGTCCAAGTCTCCACATGACTGCCTAGTCCAGCTTCTCCCTTGACACAAACCCCACGGGCACAAGCTGTTGGGAAGAGACGGGACTGCCACGCAGCCTCAGCCCACTTCCCAGGGGGAGTGTGGGCCACGCTGGATGCTTGGACGAGGCCGAAAGATCCCACGAAGAAACAATTCCCCACCTCCACAACCAGGTCTTATCCTGCCTGTGAGTAAAGACTGGCTTTTTACTGAAACATGAGGTTTATCATCCTGCCCTGCATTTGTTGCAACAGAATACTTGGAAACAGCCAAGCCTTTGAAGGGCTCGCTGCTCCTCCAGGCTTTCTCATGGTGCTGTCAAAGGCCATTTGGTGCGTATGAGTTTTTGGCCCTGTCTGGTTTCTTGCACCCACAACCCCAGAGAACAGGGCCTCCCCTGGCAAGACCACAAAACAACATGGAGGTGTCTTGCACAGCTCAGGAGGCAGCAAGCTTTGGTTAGATAAATACAAGCTGAAAAATAACTTCTCTAGGCTTTTTTTTTTTTTTTAGCCCAGGCACCAACCTTGCTCTATATCCGCCTCTGTCGTTACTTGTGCTTTTGTCTCACATGACATGTGCGACTGGGAAGGCACTCCTCCTTGACAGCTCCGCCGAGGAACTGCTGTGCCAGACCGGCTCTTCTTAGAAGGGGATGGCTTTACTTAGGGACAAAAATAAAAAAAAAAAAGAAAGCATTTTTCTAACACGTTCAGGAAGGAGTAAAAGACCCGACGCAGCAACTTTCCAGTGACAGAGTCTGGTGTGCCCTGAAGGAACAAGCTGATGGATGAAACAGCTCCTATAAGGTCACATCTGCGAGGCAAGAACAATCTAGGAGGAAGGAAGGAGTGACACAGCACAACAGACTTCCTAAAGCTCTTGCACGCTGTCACCCACCTTCCCAAAGCACAGCTGCTCAGCAGGGAGAAGCCAGAAACCATGGCAATTGCCAAGGGTACAGCTGCACGAAGGTACTTACGTGGTATTTTCTTGAACGCTGTATTGCACATGAACCGTTGGAACCTTTCGGCGTAGAAGCTGGGTCTGTGCACAGATACAGTGTCCTAGAAGCCCAAGGGACAAACGTTAACATATGAATCTAAATTAGTAAGTGATCAAGGTTAACATGAGCTTCTCTCAGGCTGTTAGCCTTGAAACACGCCGCGTTGGCCTAGGAACAGTCAGGGATTCTCACAGTCGCTCTCGCTAGCAGCTGGGAGGAGCAGATTAGCTACAAACAGTAGGCATTATATACGAAGCAATCAATACTTGTTAATGAACAAGTAGGTGACCAGCATTAACAAAGCCAACATTTTTGAGAGTACCTAGAAAGTCATACTTTTCTATAAGAGGGCAAACACACCCAATGCCTTAGAAATCCAGGATCCTATGCCCAGAAGGAGCAAGGACAGCGGGCACAGTTTAACAAGACGCTGGTATTCTTGCTAAACAAGTTAAAAAGTGATATTTTTCTACTTACCCCATCGTGTACGAGGGCCTTCCAAGAGTGCTCCAGCTTCTTGACAAATCTGACAAAAGAAAGAATTAAGAACAATTTTCACACCAAGTCCCCACTGTCTTACCATGCTCGCTCAGCACCGAGCCTCGCTCCTGACCACAGTGGCACGCACGCCCCAAACACAGACTGCTTTGGCTTCTCTTCATCGTCCCATTTTCCTAAGACACCATTTTCCACAGACACCAGGGCTGATTGCACAGTTCACTCTCCCAAAGGGAGAGTTTCACAAGCTTTATTATCAAGGGCAGTTAACTTGCAATGACATTTAACAGAGACTTTACATACGTAACCCTCTGCACATTGCATTTTAATATAAACAGAAGAAAAGGTAAGCCTTACAGCTATTTTTCATTTTACAGGGAGAAGTTGTTATGGCCATTTTAAGCCACCACTTGTTTTTTCCTTGCCACTTCCTGCACAGTGTCTGTGTACAACAACCACAGCATACAAAAACAACTTCATAAGAGTAAATCTATTCCGGGAACATGAAGTAAATACAGTAAGCAAGACCCAGAAATTAATCCCAAAATGCCCAACTTCAAGAAAATAGAAAGAGGTTCATAAAAAAAAAAAATGTTTATTTGTGTCTTAACTATTTCTTGAAAGCCAATCTTGACAACCAAGCAGGGGCAGACAATGCTGGAAAGTGGTCACCCTTAGGTGATACAAAGCTGTTATTAGATGTTTCTTACCTGTAGGACTGCAACACATCAATGATGCCGATGTAGAGCAGCAGCCTCTCCCCCTTCGCGTTGCGGGCTGGAATGCCTCCCATCCTGGCAGAGGACAGGGCACAAACATGAAGCAGGGTGTTCTCACACCCCACTGCCTCTCTCACACAGCCTAGCGTGGGCTGGATATTATGCGAACTATTTAACAAGCGTCAACATGCGGGAGGCACCTACTGTTCAGCTAACAAGTTGGGGAAGACAAGTCAGAGCAAAATGCTATTTCAGTAAGTTAGCTAAACCTCCTGAGAACTGACCCCCTTTTCCCTCTGCATGACAAATTTAGTTGAAGATAAGGATTAATCCCGACTCATCCATGAGAGGAGACCAAGCAACTGTAAAGACCATTACTACCATCCATACTAACACGGCAGCTGGACTTTATGGGCTGTTAAGTCTGATCTAACAACGCACTCGCTATGCCTCTTAGAGGTGGATGGCAATAACTAGTTGGAGCTGCCAATAACCGGTGGGCAGAGAACTCTCAATGCCACCTGGAAGGCGAGAAAAATCTTTTGTGCATTAAGGAAGGGAAATTAAAGATAAAAGCACAAAATTTGACATCAAGACCTCTCTGCCCTGCGCGACAGCAATCCTGTATAGCCCAGTCCACATCTAAATTAAGTCTCCATTAGCCAAGCTTCAGTTTTACCCCTCACTCCTCGCAGTATTTCATTGGGAACAGCAACACTGACACAGACTTACTGGTCATCTGTTTCTATAGTGCCACCTCGCCGGGCCTCTCCTTGGATGGATTCCATGGCTGTCGAGTAGAGGGCCTTTTGGGCAGCGGGTCGCCGCATATCGGTCTGGGATGTCCCATCAGCCATCGCGTGCTCTCTCTGTGCCAGGTCAATGTTATGGATAGCAACAAGCAAACTGTAATCCATGATTTTAAAGCTCTGCAGGACCTGGGCAAAAAGTCAACAAAGGCTCACTCATTATTGCAAGCCCAGTGAAACTGTTAGAGCAGACATTTTCAGAAGTGTAGTCAGCATTTCTGCCTAGAGCCCTGAGCATATTGAGGGGATGGCTTTTAATCCACAGCTCGTGCAGAGTCAGCTCATCTATAGTCGCCAAAGGGAGTTAGAGGAAAGCCATCAGTGGTACTCCTGTGCAGACGGGGACCCAAGCCAGGGGAGAACACTGTCTTTCACACGGCTGCCCAAAAGCAGTTGACAACTTGAGACCAGGCTCAGTCAAGCATCCCGCCCCTCTCCCGGGATCCTGCCCTGCTCCAGAGCTCAACCTCAGCGGAGGGTGCTTCCTCCACCTCTAGAGGCAGTGCTGGGTTTAATTCAGGTTGGAAGTATTGAATGACACTGGGGTCCAGGTCCTGCTTCTTGTCCACACCATCACCAAAAAAACCAGGTTCTCTAAGTCAACACCCCAGGCAGAGGCTACAAGGGTGGCAGTTCCCATCTCCTTTTTGTGGGACAGGCTCAGAAAAAGGAAATAACTCTCCATGCCACCCTTCCACTTACCAAACAGTCTCTCTGTAACGTTTTGCACAGAGCATTATACATGTCAGAGTCTAAGAAGAGGCCATCAGGGATGTCCTGCATAAAATCCAAGTCCTTGTATGTTGGGAAGACCTTCTCCCGTTCCTTCTGGGATGCTCGGCGTTTGTAGGTGGAGCCCTTCAGGTCATATTTCAGGTGCATTTTGACAGAGCGCGGCAGTAGGTTGTTCATCACGACAATGCGAATGTTTTTGCCTCCGGCCTGGACACAGTACAAGCCGTAAAACTTTGGCAGCAGCGTCCTTGGGTTCTGGTTCAAATTCTGAAATGCCAAAGACAAAGAAAAACCTTCAAAGCCAGTCTGGTTATTCGCGTGCCAGTTAGAGGAGTTATTTGCTCTTTCCTGTGCTTCTGTATTGAAATGGAGCTGGCAATGATTCAAAGCCATTGCCAAAGAAGCTAAGAGACAAGGGCAGGTGAACAGAGGGAACAGATGGGTGATGTCGACAGTTGTTAATAACCTCTCTGCAAAGCTGAATGGGTCAGGCAAAGATTGTAGGAAGGAAGGAGTTTGCTGCTCCTTCACACAGAAGGTAAGCTGGGGAGGCTTCAGAGCAAAGGAAGATCTTGTGCTTAGCCTTTTTGGATTTGGCACTTAGGTCAAGCTAAATACATCAGGATAGAGACTGATCTAAACTCTCGCAGCTGCAGAAGGCACTAGACAGGATTTTGGAGAAAAACGATGTGGTTCTGGGATATAACCACAGCAAAAATATTTGCGGGTTCAGAAGCAGTTTAAGGAATTCAGCTAGTGACCCCAACAGCATCAAAAGTCCTAAGGCACTTCTGTATAGCAGGACGACCTCATGGCTAAATTCCCTTTCACAGAGGTGGTTTGTAAAGGCCAGGCTGGACATAAACACGAGCAGTCAGATCACACACATTGTGTTCAGGGTGGGACCTGATTTTGCTCCAGAACTGATAAAGCCTTTTTTGCTATAGCCACTTCCATAAAATTGATATGCCTTTACTTCCAAAGCTGCTGCTTCTATATATAGAAACTTAAAATCAGAGTTCTTCAACAGGATACTTTATCTTTGCAGACAGAACCAAGTATAGCCCTGGGAAGGGAAACACAAGTACAGCTTTACAAGACAAAGTATCACGGGCGTGACGCTGTGCGCCAAGGAAGCAACGAACAGTTCACAGCTGGTCACGAAGCAGCCTGCAATCTTCCAAAAGGGTCCAAGTCACGAAGTGCAACCCGAGACCCCTGCACCGCACACCAGGCTCGCGATACCCAGGTAGCTTGTGCTAGTCCGTGACTGTCTTTGTCACTGGACAGTTGAGAGAGAAGCTGCCGCTCAGCTGGGGCACAGATCAAGCCTCCACTCACACCTACCAGGCAGTACATGGCAATATCTGTCACACCTGTACATTTGGGGGACCCTTCCCTAGCTTGCAGAGAAAGCCTCGCCCCAGTGACTTACCATGTAGTAGCCAGGCAGCAGCTTCTGTAAGAACTCAGCCTCTTTGTGCTGAACCGTTTTGATGATAAACTCATCATCGCTGGATACGTAGAAGAGGGATCCGCTGGCCCCGGAGTTTGAAAGTTCGATGAGTGGCTCATTGCAGAGCGAGTACTGAGGAGGACAAGGTGAGAAACGCAGAGGTGAGAGAGGCATCAGCAGGAAACTTCAGCGCGAAGGCTCTTCCTTTTAAACATTAACAGAGGCAAACGCCAGGGTCACAGAGAGCACCCACTGCTGTGCTTACAGAGCTTACCACAGGGCCTGACAGTGCTCCATAGCTCTGAGAGGGGGAAAGAGGACAAACACCCGTCACACAGAGTACACAACAAACGGGAACCTGGTCCAACCACCAACTCACCAGATAGTCATCTGGTCGGATCCCAAACAGCTCCCGGAAATAGCGAAATGCCACTGGAGCATAGGTTTTGAACCGAAAGTCGTTGTAGTGATGAGCCGGGGTGAGGTTACTCCCTTCACTGATCGAGGAGAGAAGCACACAGGAGTATTTGTATTTGAAACATTTCTTATGAAACTGCCCTAAAAGCAAACACCCACTGGCTGGCTGCTTCTAACACACTGGAAGGCTAGAAAGCACCCACCCAAAAGGGACACAGGTAGGCACACACAACAGCAAGCCTGCATTTGTTCACATGACTGGTGGTGGACGTATATAGGGAAGAGCCAGGGTTCTTCAGAAACAGGTCGCAGGCAGGAGCCAGAGTTGGTCTGTCAGCAGTGCATTGAGTAGCTCTGCTCAGGAGACCTGTGCTCGCTCCTGCGGTCAACTGTCCTGGTTTGGTGCTGCTTCCTCATGTACAAGCAGGGTTAGGAACTAATGCTGCTACTCACTATCAAAGCACCAGAGAGAGAAGAAAGCAAGCACCGACCTTGGGAAGAAAATACTTTCTACTACGTAGAAATCTTGCATGAGAACATCTCTTTCGGGTTTAGTGCTCAAGCTTCCAACTGTGTGTGTAATGCCCAGCTGAATGGCACCTTTCAAGGCAGATGATGTCGTCTGGAGGGGCAGAGAAAATGAGTTAGGCAATGTGGAGCAGCAGACTGGAAATAGGAGTGAAAGGAGTTAAAGAGAGCCCCAAGTTTAAAACAGCATTGTTAGCCGGGGCATTTTATACCTACCGGTTCCAGCTTCCGGCATTTCTTTCTCATTAACTAACATCGCTTTGGCGATGGGAACACCTGGGAACATCCCCAATAGCATCCTACTCGATCCTTGCACTCTGGGTGGTCGAGCAGTAAAAGACTTGAATTGGAATCAACACCCAGCTGGTCCTTAAAAGACGGAATTTCCTATCATCCTCCCACAGCACTCATCTCTACACCCTGCAGTCAGAGGGGGAAGATATCCAGGGACAGACTATCTCGCGCCCCTATGAATAAACACACTTCTTGACACCTTGGTCTGCCAGGTCTTGGAACTATATACTTTGAAGCTTGCCCTTCCCCAGCTTGGGCACAGACTTGGGTCTTCTACAGGACAAGGCAGACACGGCCAGCACACAACGCACACTTCTGTTTGGTGCTACCACATTCCTCCATCTGCCTCTCTTGCCAGGTCATGGCTCTTTAACCCTAAGGAGTTCACTGTCATTTTTAAATAAGGAGCAAAGACACGAATCCCACTCCTGCATCCTCTGCACAAACTGTCCAAGAACAATGTAGGACTGTGTTCTTGTAACAGCTACTCACATCAAGAGTCCTCTTCTGCCTATGAAACACATGATCTCATCTCAGACCACTGAGACGTGCTTCAGTCTAGCTCGTGCTACGGGCTGTCCTTCCCAGAACAGCCCAGATGAGGTCTGCTCAACACCCCGATGTTATATGGCCTGTCAGTTCCTGAAGCCCGGAGATATCGACTCTGCTGTAAAGCCTGCTGGAAACGTTGAGGCTGCAGAGCAGGTGCAGGTTGGATTTGTGCACTGCAGCTCACGGACATTTCACTTGGCTTATGCATAAAGCAACTGGACCCAGGACAAGATCCAGGGCTCACGATCCAACTAGTTTGTGTTTGTTTCCTTAAGCTAAACAAAGCCCAGCCCCCTGCCGCATGCCAGAAATCACTGTAGATCAAAGCATTTGGCAACAGAGGACACCGCAGTACCTGGGGGACAAACATTTCAAGCTTTTTCCCCAGACACACATCCTCCATGAAGCCTTGTAAAATGACCAGGAACATTTCTCCCATTAACTGTTTTTCTGTTATCATAGCTGCAAGAGAGCTGCTCACTGTTCCCCAAAGAGAGCACAACAAAAACTGGCAGTAACTCCAGCTTGTCAACAATGTCCTTTTCTACTGCAGCTACCTGTTTGTATCCGATTTCTGCTGCAGTATTAGATGGGGAAGGAGGAAGAACTGGACTCCTCTTTCCTTCCTTACCCTCTAAAGGCTAAAGCTGCTTGAAAACAGATCTCGGCTCAGCTCACCTAGTCCTGCTTAAACTCCCAGGACAGTCTCACTGTTGAGAAGCAGAACTTACCAACACGGTGCAGCAATGCTGCCTTGTTTGTGAACACAGAGCCACAGGGCCAGGTTGCCAAGGAACAAGTATTTTTCTCTTCTATTAGCCAGCACGATCAGCTGAGCAGCTGACTGCCTGTTTACAATCACTTTTATAGGGCAAAGAATTTTAAAAAAAAACTTACCACCCCTGGAAAAGGAGGGAATGGAAAACAGACAGACTGTCCATTAGTCTCATTCCCAGATACATCCCATGCAGTGTCCCACCAGGCTTCTGGGACCCTTGCAAGAAACACTTCAGGCATTTTCCATTGACTTCTACTTTTCTCTCCTATTACTGCTGTCTAACCTTCTATCTCTGAATTTGCTGGGAAACTGAAAGCTGCATCCCAATCTTGAAGACACAAGCAATTTCAAAAAGGGCATTATAACAAAAGCCAGCTTCTGTAGAAATACCATTTGAATTCCTCCCTTCCACGCCGATTCCTGACAACACTTCAGGCATTTTCCATTGACTTCTACTTTTCTCTCCTATTACTGCTGTCTAACCTTCTATCTCTGAATTTGCTGGGAAACTGAAAGCTGCATCCCAATCTTGAAGACACAAGCAATTTCAAAAAGGGCATTATAACAAAAGCCAGCTTCTGTAGAAATACCATTTGAATTCCTCCCTTCCATGCCGATTCCTGACAGAGAGAGGTACATCTGGATTAGAGATTTCAGACCAGAAGCTTCGCTTACACGAAACAGTGAAATGCCCATATCAAGCCATTACCCATTCAACCTACAGCCTAGAAGTCAACCTCACTTCAGAGAAAGTCAGCCCATTCCGACAGAAGTCCAACAAACTGGAAGCAGCATCCACAAAATACCCACATTTACAGGCTTTTTACAAGTACCCAAACAATCTCCCCTTTGTAAAGCGAATTCCAGTAATGCCACAAGATCTATAGAAACTATTGTGCCCAAAGAGCACAGAAAGCACCCAGTAAGCCAGAAGAGGCCTAGGAAGTGTTGCTAATGGGCAAAGTTTAAAAATAATCCCCTCTTTAGAAGGCTGCAGAGGGGAAGCTAAGAAGCACATATTCAGTCCTTTGGTTCCTTTCCTCTGAGATCTTCTTCAGCGACTGTCACAGACGTTATCCAGTGTCCAATGCCGAACCTCCTGAGACACACCGCTGCTCTGGGCAGCACTTGCATCGCAAAGAGGAGAATGACAACAGTCAAGTGAGTCGTGCAAGGGGCAACTTACCTTTTTATAGGTAGTCTCGCCCGTGGAGTCCACTCCTCTGTGCCCTTTCTTTATCGTCTGTGAGCCTGGCTGCCCAGAAGAACCTGGCATCTAGGATTGGAGTAAAAGATGGTAAGAACCAAGGATGTAAAACCCAATCTCTTAGAGGCCGGTGGCTGCCCAGAACCACCTGGCATAATTTTGCTCTTCTCAAAGATGGAGCCTGTGAAATGCTGAAGCCCCAGGTCCCTGCACACGCGCAAAGGGAGGACACGGTACAGGCTGGCCTCCAGGACAGCAATGCCATTGAAATGCCTTCAAAGAACCCATTGACTCCTGTGTGATTGAGGCCGGACATATAATTAGAGAGAAACACCTTCATGCAAGACCACCTGGAAGAGTGTGCTTTTTTTCTAATCACCCTCATCACAAACAGATCAGCTCTAAGCACATCTGGACCCACCGCAGCTGGTCACCATGCTTTCTGCCAGTAAGGCCAAGTCTTTGAGGAAACATTTTAGGAAGGTGGCAAATTCTCCTCTGATTCATGCCACAAGAGCGCGCTTGACTCATCGTCTTCTAACACATGCAGTTGTTAAATGGTGTTTCTCAGTCAAAACGAGTTGAACGTCTTGCTCGCGGCAGGAGATCTATGCGGTGTTTTGGTGGCACGAGAATTGCTCAGTTCCAGGACAAGCTGGGTTTTTAAGCAGAGATTCCCTTGGTAAGGAGAAATGCTCTGACTTCTCAAATGAGTACCTGCAGCTTACTGTACTTACCACCGCCTGGTTTACCCCTAACTTGAATGAGATTGGAAAAATAGCAGACAAGTCTGAAATTGGGTATTCTCTCACAGCCACGGAACAAACCAAGTTGTTGGTCAGAAACTTACCTCAGGGGTGAGTGATTTTTTGAAAGTAGATGATCCTGTCAAAAGAATAAAGCCACACTCAGAAAGGGTTAATCATTATTATGCATCACAAAAAAGCCTGACACACCGCCTTGGTTCGAACAAACGTTTTAAGGCATCTGAAAAAGCACTGACTCACGGCTGATTTCTTCCCAGCTTCTCCTCTTACAGCAGAGGAAGAAGGAAACCAAGCCACAAGGAAATGCTATTCTGCTTACTGCTCACTAGCCAAACTCGGTTTTGTGTCGGTGCTACCGGCTAGGGTCTGCTCTGCCCTGCTCAGCTGGCTTCCAGCACTCCTCTGGCTGCACACCAACACGCAGGACCACCTTCAGAGGCGGTATCAGCAACTTCCCTGCCTTCAACGGAGTTACACGGCTTTGCAGGATTACTGCCATCTATTAATTAGAACTGAGAGGGCCAAGTGCTCTGCAATGTTTCAGTAGATATGCTGACCACACTTTATCTTAAAATCATTTCCAGGACCTTTTATTAAAAGGCCCAGAACATCAACCCTTCCACTCGAAGCCAAGCCCAGGGATTTTCTTACTACCATGGTGCTAAATAACTGCGAGGTGACGTACTAACTTTTATCTTTTAGGCCTGGATTCCCATCTTGGGTTTTTTTGGATGCAGTAAGGAGGAAAAAAAAAGCAATTAGATGACACTGCCCCTCTGCGATGTCTGTCTACACCACAAAGCCACCAGCCAGGTTGAGACCAACGCTGGTGAGGCCAAGAGCTCCCATGACAGGGACGCTGCCCCTACCAGGCAGATGCATAAAATAGTGATGTGCTTTCTGCCTCCAGCCCAGAAAGCCAGACAAGCACTTTCATTTTGTTTTTCTTTCTACTTTAGACACAGCAACAGATTTTTTTACATGGGAGCCATAACCACAGCCTTATAGAACCACCCCCACCCAAAAGCAACACCCCCATCGTACCACGGAGTAAGCACAGGGTTGCTTCCCCCGACATCCAGTAATTGTTTTACCAGATTAAGCATTACAACATATAATCCCTACAGTGGTTCTGGGTCCACCCACCGCTCGCTCAGCAGAGAAGCCCCTTCTGCTCGCCTGTTACAGGCGGTGTAAAGACTCACGCTGTGATTTCAGCAAGCACTACAGCTCTACAAAAACTGCATTTCAGCAGAAGGAACAGAGGTACGTAACAGCAAAATCCAGCAGCCTTCTGATCCCCTTATCGAATGATCAAAGTTCTCATTTCAATACATATTAAACAAGCAAACAAGAAGAAAAAAAAAAATCTGTGACAAATGCTTTTTGCTAAACAAAGCGAGCACAGAACAACTGGCTCCAACTGCCTTCCCACCCCCTCTCATCCCCCTTTCAAGACAAGAAAGTTTGTCCCGACAAGCTCCAATTTTTGCAGTTGAAGTTTCTCACAGCTGGCTCTCCTCCTCCTCCTCCTCCCCCCGGCACACTTGGGGCTCTTTGGAACCGGCCACCCCGCTTCACCTCTCACAGAATCATTTAGGTTGGAAAAGACCTCAAAAAAAAAAAAGAGATCATCAAGTCCAACCGTAAACCTAACACTGCCAAGTCCCACTAAACCATGTCCCCAAGTGCCACATCTACAATAGAATCACAGAATCATTTAGCTTGGAAAAGACCTTTACAAAAAGACTCTCTCGCATCCCTTCCCAAATCTGGGCCGGTAGCGAGGGGAAGAGGGAGCGTCTCCAGCCGGAAGGAAGCTCCTGTGACTTAGCGCCTTACAATGACACCAATAAAGCTTGACTCCATCACCTTGCCACAAGGCTTTTGAACCTGCCAAGATCCATCAGGACGCAGGGATGGAGGAAACACCCCGGGCATCACAATGTAACACCTGTTCAATAGCAACTGAGCTTTTTTTTTTTTAAGCAAGTATCTGTAATTATGTAAATCAAAACCTCTAAAAGCCCCATGATTTAAGCAATCCTGAAGCAGCGCCGCCAGCCTCATCACCTTGGAGATTCACTGTGTTAATATTTAATCATCTGTGCAAAACCGTATTCCACTAGGATTTAACTAAAGCTCTCTTGCCAGAGGACCCAGCAGCATATCTTCTCTTCTGCTGCCTTAATCACACGCAACAAACATTGAAAGGGAGAATATACAACGAGCCTTGGTTGGAAGAGCTAGCTGGTTTGTCCCCTGCCATACCATGGGGTATCTTCATCTTGGAGGTTTCACCGTGATTTTAAGGAAGAAGTACAGCATCTCAGCACAGACCAGAGCATCAGCTTCACCTTCTCCTCTTCCCCCACCGCCCCAAGACCACGGTGCCTCGGCTCACCCTTTCACATAGTGACTTGGGAAGCGACAACAACGATCCTCCCAATCAGGCCAGTTACAAGAAAGGGTGAGTCAACGAGGGAAAGCCGCAGCGCGCGGTCAGAGCATCGGTGCGGTCGCAGCATCGCTCCGGTCCCAGCACACCCAGTTTCCGCAGCAGGAAGCTCCCCTCCCTCCCTCCCGCTAGTTTCCAAACAAGTTTGCTGCCGATTGGGAAATAGGTAATTCCTGTTTGACCATGATAAAAAAAACCCCACTTATTCACTTATTCTGAGTGCAAGGATGAACACGCAGCTGACGGGGTCTGCTCAGCTCTGAGGCTGGACTGAAGCTACGTACAGGTCTATCGCATGTCCTGCAAAAACAAGCTCTCTCGATTACCAAAAGCGTTACCGGCTGAGGTCAGAGAACAAACCCCAGAGGTTTCCATATGAAAACGTTTCGGTTACCTCCACCCTTTCTCATTGCTATGTAAAGGCAGTTTGTCTGTCCCACACACACTCCGCTTGGAGAAGTGAAGGTGTTAAATTCAATGGCATAAACTTAACAAAATGAAATCATTTCAAAAAAGCTGCTATTTCTAGATCTGTTTAAACACCTCTAAAATGAAAGAATTCATCAGTCATAATTTCTACCCATATTGACAACTGAAAAAAATGGCTGGAGAGACCTAAACGGTTAATTCTGGCCAAAGGAAACAGATCAGGGTTAGAAAGTCCTGTCCAAAAATGCATTCATGATGCCCCAAAACCTTTCCTTTCTTCTTTCTTTCGTGATTCTGGGAGCAATCCCTACGGGTGATTTCAGAGCATTCCTCAGAGCTGTTTACTGGAACCTGAATCAACCTAAATAAATAGCTGTCTGCCTTCCGCCAGCCTTAGCTGTCCGGGATTATTTTCAGCCAGCAACAGACAGTATGCTCTTACCGACTGTGAACTAAATGCTGGGGGGAAAAAAAGCTAAAAAGTTGTGGCGCTGGCACCTGGTCAAACGGTTCAGACAAATATTTCACTGGAAGGAGCACATAACAAGGCACTCGGGTCAGATCCTCACTCGTCTAGCAAACGAGCGTGCTAATTTGGTATAGCCAGGACAAATGCTCACTTTGCTCTATTTTTATAAACAGAGCTGCTCAGACAGATTTTAGCCACGCCTCATGTTTTAGATGAAAATAAAAAAGTTAAAACGTTAGCACACCCAAACACATCATCAAGCTCAACTCTCCAGCGTCTGAGCAGGGCAAGCCGAGCGCCAGGACACACCACACCAGCATGCACTGCCCTTCCTCCCCGGTCCTGCTGCTGACTGCGGGCTTTATCTCAGCCAAACAAGTGGCCAGGGCAAGAGCGGCAGCTGGCTCTTCCCCAAACGGGTCCTCTTAACGCTCAGAAATGGGAACATGCCCCTTCCTCACCTGGACTCTGCCTGCAGGTGGTGGCACCATCGATAAGAGCACTTCTGCGCACACAGAAGTCGGTCGTGAGACCAAGCCTTAGACCCACCAAACACTACCCGGAGGACGCGTAGTATGTTGGAGCCTCCGTGGACACATCCAAGCCGCTGTCCGCACAGAAATCCCCCAACACATTTTTTTCCTCTGCCTGCAAATCCCCCCCCCAAAAAAAGTCTGTTGGGATCAGTCCCCCCCAGTCCAAGGCCACGGCTGCAAACGGGAATAGCAGCGAGATTTCTTTTCTTCAAAGTGCAAACCAGGCAGAAACCAAAGCAGAAAAGCCCCGCTGGAACAATCCTGCTGGTGCACACAGCGATGCGGAGAGCTGTTTAGATGTCAGGAGAGCGCTTACACAACACGCTTCAACAGAACAGCAGCTTTTGTTGAGAGCGGTAGCAGCTTATTTAGGGGAAAAAACCCACCAAGTTTTGTCAATCCTCAAAAGCCAAGGCAGTTACGTAACATGGCATTTTGCTGCTGGTTACTGGAGGAGGAAGAAACCATGCTTTTTTTTTTTTTAAGCACATATATGCAATACATCTACCTCTTCGAAACGACATCACCGAGCAGCACAAAAAGCTGAAATCTATACGAGGAAAAACAAAAAGGTTATAGAGTTGTTGCAGTGAACTGACACTTCTGCTGCTTGAAGAAACAGGAGATATTTTCCCCAAGAAAGTTAAAGAAACACGAAAAGAAATCTTATTTCCACTAGTTAAGAAAACAAAGGTCCAAACTTCACAAGCAAAACACTTCTGAGCAAGGCACCTTGGTCGCACACAATAAAAACCTCTTCCACGGCTCTGGAAGATAAGAGCCTAAATATTTCATTTGCTTCTCTCAGGAAGCTCTTATGGAAAACTGCAGAAGTCCGGCCTGAACTAAGAGTCAAAGCCAACGCTCTTAATCACAGCAGCTGGGGATGGAAGAAAACCCATGAGATCACGCAGCCCGCCCCTGCCAGCGCAGAACGCGGCCCTCCAGAGGAAGATAAAACACTTACAAACACTTGATCTTGGCCAGAAGGCCAAACAGTGAGTAATAATTTTGAAATTCTCTGCATCAATAGATTTGTTCCGATAAATTATGTTAAGGACATTAAACCAATGGCATCAAAGCTGCCATAAGAGAGCTCACGAATTCAGTTTCTAGATAAAGAGCTCTTGCACGTTGTAGATTCCTGTTCGGGGTTATCTTTCCCACCACCCTTAGCAGCCGGCAGCTGATGTATGCATGACTGATTTTACTGCCCCGGATTAGCACATCTTCCTCCCTCTCCCCTTCACTTGTTTTACGAGCCTGTGGATGGAGGCGCAGGACGGGACACTCCTGAAAGTCACTGGATACCGCTGACGTGTCCACGCCGGCAAGTGGGTGACGCGTTGGGAAAAGGCCCAGGGAAAGACAGAGGAGACGCAATCTGTGTAACGTTATCTAGACACTTCTCGCTGCTTTGCAGAAACAGTAAACCCTTCCTCAATCTCTCTTCACCAGCAAACTGCCAAGAGCTTTGTGAGGAGGTCAGCGTACCTAGCCACGGAGAAATAAAGCAATTTTTTAATCCAAGAGGCCGGGACAGAATTAAGAACAGGTTTCCACGCACAAGGTTACCAGCATTTTCTAAGTACCCAGAAGAGAGCTGAGGCCAGGCATGACATCTAGAAATCAGTAAAAAGAAAGAAAAACCCCAAAACAAGCAATTCCTCTGCCTTCTGCAGAGGTGAGCAGACGAGGTGCTCACCAGAGGTGAGGAGAAGAGAACGTACCAAAGAGGATGGGGTTTGGGCTTCCACCTCCATCACTTGGAGGTCGGTGAGCACGGGTCTGTTCGTGTCAGCAGACGAGCGCTGACCTCACTGAAACTCTGGATCCACCGTTTGGGGCTTATCCCAGCAATTCCAGGAAGAGACGTGCTTCACGGCAACTAGTTGTTTGGGAGCTTCAATCCAAAACCAGCACAACTCACCAGGGCTGGGAAGAAACCCGTTTTCCTTCGTGTCTCGTCAGCACAACAGACCTTGACCAAAGATCAGTGGTCACAAGAGCACCAACAAACAAAACCCCGTCTACATGTGCACGGAAACACGAATACATCTTGACTGACGACGAGTTACTCTCTCCACTGAAAAACATTGGAAGTAAATAAAAAAACCCTCTGAGTCAAATAAATGAGACTCAGATGCATGATGTCTTCAGCAGCAGAGGATGGAGACAGCCCACGGACCAGTAGGCAGATGGTAGGACTAAAGGGTGGAAACTCTGAAGACAAAAAGGACAGTGAGCAAGAAGTTTCCAGCACCTGCTCCTGACTCCCGGCTGTATTTCTTCCCCCACCACCCCTCTCCTGAGCCCAGCCCTTTGGCCAGAGCCGTGCCCTCCTGCTCCCCCAGAAACGCCAGCTCCGAGGTAGAGCACGCGAACTCTTTGGCCCTTGTTATTGAGCTGCTTGGGAGTCAGAGAGCACCACGGACCGCAAAAATCACAATTAAAAGAAAATAAATCGGTGAGCAAGTTCAGCAAAACCACCTTCAGCTTCAGGGAAGAGGCTGGAAATGAGGCACGTATGAGCAAGGGCTAACACAGCCGGGCGAGACGCCGGCCGGCGAGTATTCCTGTTATTGCTTTTCCGTATGGTTCACAGCAAAACTATCTCAAGCTTCCCAGCAGAAGAGGGGGCAGACTAATTTTTGCTGAAGGCATTTTGGACAAGACCACTTTCTGGAATATTTGATGGCAACTCCTGCCCCTGTAACCTGCAGAAAAGCTATGGAGACCCTCCTTCCCTACAGCAGCATCTTCTGGCACATCGGCTTCGCACAAGGTTCTGCCATTTGAAAATTAATCCTACTGTTGGCCGAAGACCATCGATTTTACAGCTCTACATTACTCCCGCTTTCCACCAAAGCACTTCGATGATTTAAAATTTAAGCCGATCCCCGCTCCCGGACAGCAACACCTATTCAAGAAGCACAAAGGCACGGGGTTTTCCAGGGTGTTGATGAATTTGAAGTCCAGCTTTATGGCTATCAGGAGCTACTTTGGTGATATGAATCCTAACGATAAAAGCTCCAAGCATTCCTCTTCCAGCCTGCTCTGCAAACATCACCAAGCGCTGGGAAGGGAGCGTGTCAACAGCCAGCTGAGCGATTACGGGACTTGCTCAAAACCAACCCCAGAGGGAGCTGGCGGCAGGGAAACCAGAATTAGCACCCTGCCTGCTGCACCACCTTCTTAATTTGGGGGAAGATAAACAATCCCTTCCCAGAAGAGTAAGATTTAGGTCAGATATAAGGTATGTTCCTGCCCTGGGAGCGCTCTGCTTTTTAAACAAGGCAGAGTCCGTGGGGATGCGGCGAGATAATACATTTAATCACCGCTATTACATAGTAATCAAGAAAGGGCAAGAAGAACTACAATGCCTCGTTTGGGGGAAAAGGAAGCCCCGATCCTGGAGCAGGAAGCTCTGGGTGAGCAGAGGGAAGCAGCGCAGGGGGCATTAATTCACCTCCGTCTCAAAAAAAAGGCTTTTCAACCCTGCAGGGCTAATGGGGGTGGCGGGGAGGAGAAATAAAACACCGAGCAGCCCCTTTCAACGATACACGGCGGAGACGGAGAGAGGGAGGAGCGGCTTTTACTTTCCAAAGGGAAATTCAGTTACAATTCAGGAAATAGTACTCCAGGTCATCAGTGCCCCCCCAAAACCGCACAATTCTCACTTGTTTTCTAGCTACCGCTTTGCCAGATGAGCTTCCCTCCGACAGACAAATCTGTCATTTATTTAGACGAGCTGGCTCCTACCTTTGTTCTTTCGACGGTAATCTTTTGTCTCCATCTTAAAGGAGCTTTGCCCCACGCCGGGGTGGGCATCACACACAAGCATGACTCCCACGGCACCAAAAGGGATGGCGAGAGTTTGGGCGACAGGACCCGGCTGACGATACCAACCCGCGACACCCCCAGAGATTTCACAGCTGATGGTTGGGAAGAAGAGAGATTTTTATAACGGAGACGGGACTTGGAGTCATTTGACAGTCCTATTTTAAGCTTGAGGATGATGAGCCATTCAGATGTTTCTATTTAATAAACTCATCTTCCCTCCTGCGCGCTCAGTCTCAGCTAGGTGGGATCAAGAAAGCTTTGTCCCTCTCGCAGGAATTGGGTGGGGGAGGGCGGCGAGTCTTTCTGGGTGTTTTACACCTACATTAAGGGCTCAGCAGTTCGGGACCCTGCTCTCGCTCGCTTCAGATGTGTCGGGATGATTTCCCTGTCCCCAGAAGTGACTGAGCCATTTTGAGAGCAATTCTTTTGTCTGTGGACTCCAGGGAGGGGCCTGAAGCCAGGGCGACAATGAACTCTCAACTCACTCAGACCCGTAACGATAAAGCAGCCGCGGCACCCAAGGCACAAAGGACCAAACAACTGAAATCCCACATTAGCATTTTTTGGCAGATGCTGCTTCAAAGCAAAAGCAGCAAAATGAGAAAACCTCTTTGGGTGTTTCCCCAGAGAGTTAAATACACATTGAGGCAGGGAGAGGGGGAACTGCTGCCTGCCTGGCCCAGGAAGGGTTTCAAAATCATCTGCATCCTCTTTATCTACGCTGGATGATGCCAGCAATAGAGTAATAGCCCCCCGGGGCAAACTGCACCATGGGCCACTGGGGCGACCCTGCCCCAAAAAGCCGTGGCAGGGCTTGAGGTGGTTTAAGGTTTACCATGGAGCAAAGCAAAACCTCGTGTCCGAAACAACAACCGGCCTCCTTTTGTGCCCTGCCTTTCGCAGAGCTGTTCCTCTGGCATCTGAAAGGGTTGCAAGGTAAGCAAGGCACAGCTACGGCCGTCAGACATTCAAGCTGAAGCCGTGCATTGCCACGGTCCGGCCAAAATCAATCCTGCTGCCCTCCCACCCTCTGCCCAGGGCGAAAACAAAAGCCCCAGTTACGGCTCTGACCCGGTGTTTGCTCACGGGCTTGTTATTACACCGGGGAGGGAGCACTCGGCAAGGCAGGCGAATGCCTCCTCCTGGCAGGATGATAAACACAGGCACTGCAGACGTCTCGGGAGGGGGACAGCCACGGTGGGACCCCCGGCGCAGGCAGCTCCTCCACAGCCACATCACCCAACGCGCAGCGGCTGAGCCCTTCCAGCACCCATTTCGGGATCGCTCTCCTCACGTCACAGCTCTCATCATCTCCAGCTCTACCTGTCCTCTCCAGAAGCTGCAAAGTAACCAGGTCCTACCCAAAGCCCAAACACTGCCCGGGGCAGAGGGCAACCACACGGAGAGGCCCCGAGTCTCCCAGAGGTGGGGCTGAAATCCAGGGTTTAAAGCCTGTGCCATCAGGGATCAGCTGAGGTGAACATACGTCATGTATCGCACACGTCATGCCGCGGAGGCTCTGTCACAACCAGAATTCAAATCCTGTGGGAAACACGCGTTAGCCAACACCTCGCTAGCCGGAGAAACAAACAATGGCAATTATTCCACCAGGAAGGGAGAAGAGATTTACTTGTGTACTTGCATATTTTCTCTTTAAGTAATGCTCTCGAAACCCTTCAAGCTTTCTGAAGCCGGCTCCTCCTTCTCAGCTCAGAAGACAGGCAAGCATGGGAGAAGGTCAAGGTCTCAAAGGAAGCCCCAAAGCAACAGAAAAAGGGGTCTCGCCCCCGGCCGCTCAGCCCCGTGCTGAGGCACCGTGGCTGCTGCAGCCAATAAAGACCCAAAAGTGCTCTCTTTGTCCTCACAAAACTGGCTTTATCAGACCGACAGGTACGACTTTCCCCCGTGCCTGTTCACACAGTGAGCAAAGATAAAGCGGGTACATCGGAGGTCTGTCCTCAAAACTGCCCAAAGGACACAGCTAAGAAGCCAGAAAATCGAGCACATACAGACATCCCCACTAGACGATACTTCATCAACACCGCAGCAATAATTAAATGAGTCTCTCCTACGGTGGCGCACAGCAATCTGGCCCTAAATACTTCTAGAAGAGAAGCGGGGTAGCAAGCAGCGGGGCTTAAGGTGCAAAACACCAACACTCCCAGAGCACCAAACGAAGTCGAGGTTCAGCCGCAGGTCTTCCCGTGGGTTTCTTCTTTCCTTGCTGTGAGTTGGGTGACAAGTGCTGTCACACCGACCGGGAAGCTTCCGCATACTGCATTATAATAAACAAAAAGTCTGGCCACTCTCTACCAGAGAAGCTCGGGAGGGGTGGCTGGATCTTGCCAAATGCAAATTTCAAGGCTTTAAGAAAGTAATTTTGGTTTCTAGCCACAAACTAGCATGAAGAAGCTGTTTTGGGGCCTGTGGAAAGGGGATTAGGGCTCTCAAATCCCCCAAGAACGCTGCCAGACCTGTGAAATGCTGGCAGGAGGCAGAGTCACAGGTTTAAGAACCAAAAGTGCCCTGTTTTATCGCAGACAAGGTCTCCACCCCTCGTAACCATCCCTCTGCGGCAATGAGGACGATGCCCAGTTCCAACCCTGCATATTTCTGGTTCAGCTCGCATTTTAAAATCAGCGGAGCAAGAGAAACTCTCAGCCGTCAGAGGACTTCAAGACCTTTCCCTTGACTCTTACCGGCTCTGGTACTAGTCATCAAAGCAAATCTAACCAGAAGATGTTTACGTTCCCACGGTATCTTGCCTCCCACAGGTGCCAAATGGCTTTGACGAACTACCTTCGCCTTGCCCAACACCAGATGCAGCAGAGAAGAGGGTGCCTCCACCGGGGAGATGCCATCCTCCCCCTTCCCCGACACGGTCCTGCCTAAAGGAAGATATTTCAGCTCCCCCCACCCCTCTGCGCCCCAGCAGCCGAGTCCGTGGACCCGGGACCCGCTGCCACCCCCAAGGCAGGAGGCCTGACTCATGGCTCAGGCCCTAGAAATACAAGGGAACAGAGAGTCAAGTTTCCCCTGGCACCAACCCCTCCGCTCCCCCCACCCCATCGCAGCGCCCCTTCTAGCGTAACCCAGTCCCCCCTCCCCAAGGCCCTCTGCCCCCTCCAACCACCC